GGAACTCCCAGATGATAATCTTAACAAAACAGGCAAACCTAGAACAAACACAACACAATACTATACAATACAAATGGCTAAATGCAATACATACAATATTGAAAGACAATTCACTAAACTTCATAAAAGAAAAAACATTCACTATCAAACAAAAAAATCAAATTAATCAAATTTTAAAAACTTCCCTTGAAAATAAATATACCAGTTTCTGGAAAGAAATGATTTCCAAAGAAAATGGCAAACTGAGAACATATGCTAAATTTAAAACAGAATACATCTTCAAGCCATATTTGAATGAACTTGACACTCATAAAAGGAAAATGTTGACAAAATTTAGAATTAGTAACCATAACTTGGCAATAGAGGAAGGCAGATATTCATTTCCTAAGAAACCTATAAATAAAAGAATATGCAATAACTGTGACACAAATTCAATCGAAGATGAAGAACATTTTCTATTGAATTGCCCAAAATATAATACACACAGGGAAAATTTCATTCAAAAAATTATGACACTACTTTCAAGCAAAGATCCTGACATAATTATGGAACTTGCCAATTATATTTACATAACAAAAAGATTTATTTAACATTTAAATACTAGTTAAGTCCTTTTGTATTGTTTTTTTTGTACAAATCTTATATATATCTTGTTATTATTTTAAAACTCTTTTTTGCTGTACTTATCCTATATAAATCTTTTTACATGGAGGCAATAAAGTTATTATTATTATTATTATTATTATTATAATTCTGTGATTTGCGCCATATTCTGGTTGCAATTTTTGCAAATAGGTGGTTACGCAATAGGTTCTTCCAAGAGTCTTTGATACAAATGGTAAGTTTGATTGGATGATAGTTCTTGAGTGCATTTTAGTCTAGATAGCTTTTTCATCAATGGTCTGATAACAAGACTGGAAATTTATTCTCTTTGTGCCCAGAAGTTTCCTGCCCTCAACTAGGTGGAAGGTGATGCCTTCAAGTGCCACCATAGACCCTAGCACAATTTCTCTGTTGTGAATAAACCCTGTTTTTCTGTCAGAGCATTTTAGGGAATTGATAACTAATATGACTTGAGTAATTTGTGTGATTTGATAGGTATCGATGGGTTGTAGTGGTGATAGTAGATCTAACGTAATCTCTGGTGAATGGGATCCTGCTGGATTTGAAGTACTCAATACAGAAACACCTAAAGGTATGTTGAACTGATTATTGACACATTTGTTATATTGATTCTACTGTATGCCATCTTAAGGCTGTTTATCTAAATTACTAAATTATTGCTAAACACATTTATAAAATCACTGTTTATTAACACAAATGTGCATGACCCAACAACCACACCCCTTTAATGGGCTCGTCTTAAATTTACAATTAATTTGAAATATTTTATGATTTTATCAATCAACAAGACACTTCGCGATGAGCGTCTTTTGCGGTCAGTAATATTTACGAACATTTTTGTTCACTATTGGCGATCCGTTCTGCTAGGATTGCCCTTAAAATCAATTTTGTGTTTCTGAGTGTGTGGTTTCCGGTGTTTTCACGTATTAATTCTTCTGTGATTGTTTTGGCTTGGCCTATTTCCCTCTAACTTGACAGGCAGGTCACACCATCACCCTAGTTATAGTAAAATCTGAAGAAAA